GGACCTCTCCCTCTGTTCCGTTTCCACGGCCACAGAATAAGATGTGCGCCCTTACACTGCGACCACCACGGTGCTCAAGTTCACCTGGACCTCTCGCTCTGTTCCATTTCCATGGCCACAGAATAAGATGTGCGCCCTTACACTGCGACCACCATGGTGCTCGAGTTCACCTGGACCTCTCCCTCTGTTCCATTTCCACAGCCACAGAATAAGATGTGCGCCCTTACACTGCGACCACCACGGTGCTCGACTTCAAACGCTACATGATTTTCATGTGTCACAAAATATTCTTCATCTTAATCTTTTTTTTTTCAGACAATGAAAAATGTAAAAACCATTCTGAGCTTGCAGGTCATAGAAAAATAGGCAATCGGCTGCAGGCCACAGTGTGTGGGCCTCTGAATTAGACAAAACAGTAGTAAGTACTTTATTTACCATCAAATTCTGTTACTATGTGACTTAGATCTTTCTCTTCTCTTCCTTTCATTTTAATTTAAAATATATTTCACTTAATTTATCTCTTTTTTCATTATAGGGGTTTTGTTACATCTGCCCTTGGTCAGATAATCCTTCATATCTGGAAGTTCGTGTGATATATAATACTTTTGAGGGCAATTTGTCTAGAATGGGTATTAGAATTTCTCTGACACTAGACAATTTGTTTCAGAGTTAACAGGATATATTTCTCACATCTTCCAATATTTAAGGTATATGAGTGATTTATTGAGGGGAGGGGGAGAAAATAGAAAAAAACAGTCAACAAAACAATTAGAAGCTGCCTGCAGGCAGATGAGAGGAATACAGCTGCCAGTTCGGGTTACAGATCTATTTCTCAAAGGGGAAATGGCAAGCCACACTTCTGTGAGGGAGTAAAGATGAGGAATGGTGAGCTGAGAAAACAGGAATAAATGTGAACTGGTAGGAGGAAAGTGTTATTGAATGCTGAGTAAGAATGTCTCCCCTTAGAGAAAGGAGCACACACACAGAATTCCAAGGTGACGGGAGAAGAGCTTGAGTTGGGTCTCCTCGGAGCGCTGCTGGGTGAGGGAGGAATTATTCGAGCTTTTCACGGTAAGATAGAGGGTACCAGGCACAGACATGGTTCCATCTTTTTGTAAGGTGGCTTAAAAAAGATAGAACCACAGTATTTTTGTTACATTTTCTAAGCCTGTCAGCAGCATTCACACCTACTATCTAGGTCTCCTCTGCACAACCCAGAAGAGTTATGTGGAAGCTACCCAGAGAATTTAGGTAAGAAAAATATGAACCACCTGGATGTTCTCCTTTAACTCTTTAGAACAGTTATGCTCCCAGGAAAACCATGTCCGCCTCTCTGCCACCATTCATCACTCCGTGCTCTTTCTCGGCACCACTTGTGCATTTGACAGAAGCAACGGCGTGAAATACACAGACTGAGATGAAACAAATCACTCAAAACCCAAGGTAAGTTTTCTGTTCTCTATTCCAGCTACTCATGGGTCCCACTCTCACTTTTAGGGTTAAGAATTGAATGAAAATGGGTTTTATAAGCCCATTTGCTACACAATATTTGATTGATTACAACGTAAACCCCATTGTTAAGTTTACTGGGAAACAGCAAGGGTGTAAAACTGATAGTTGGGGCTTGTGAATTTTACTTAAATGGTGCATAATATGCTTTTAGAACAAGGAAAATGATTTTCAGCATGATTTACAAAAAAAAAATCAATGTTTCATTATCTTGTGAAGATGATGCCAGAGCATGGGAGTTCTCGATGCTTCTCTCAAAAAATAAATTAAAAAAATCCAAGTAATTTACTTTGAAGAAGGCTAGGTTGATAGGGGATTCCATGAAAATTAACACATAAACAGCAAACATGGGGTTTATATTTCTAGTTCTCTCTTAAAGAACAACTAAGACACCAATTGTTGCTATTTCTACCCTTTCCCCAAGCCTCTGGCAGTAGTTTGGTTTTATACATAGAGAGTAAAACCTTTTGCCATCTGAGCAAAGAGAGAATCTTCCTTCTTTGTCATGGTGACCGGGTAACAGACACTTGAGGAGTTATCCCACCTAGTTCCTTCAATCCACAGTTTAATTTTTAGATGCCCAGGGCCTTAAATACTATACAGAACCAACGGCACGTGCTAGTCCTTAACAAGGGGGAAAAAAAAACAAGAGAAAAAGAATTTCCTATGCCAAACAAAGCAAAAGCAGTTACTTTGTGGAAAAAATCAATAAGAAGTTGAAACGGGTTTGGTGCCTGTATCTCAGTGGTCAGGGCGCTGGCCACATACACTGGGGCTGGAGGGTTTGAACCCAGGTCAGCTAAACAACAATGACAACTACAAGTAACAACAAAAACAACAACAAAATAGCCAGGTGTTGTGGCGGGTACCTGTAGTCCCAGCTACTTGAGAGGTTGAGGCAAGAGAATCGCTTAAACCCAAGAGTTTGAGGCTGCTGTGAGCTGTGACACCACAGCACTCTACCCAGGGCAAAATGGTAAAACTGTGTCTCAAAAAACAAAAAACAAAACAAAACCTTGAAAACAAAGCATTCTCAGAATAAACGTCACATGTTCACACCTAGAAAAGGTCTGTAGAGTTGGAAGTCCATTAGAAAAGAACAGAGGTTGAGTTTAACTTGTGCTACTCTGACCCACGCATCCATACTTACATCTTGTCTTGGCCAGCACCCACTCGGAGAGTTAATCTGGGGATGACTGGACTTGGGGCTGGGACGACTGGCTCCACTTTTATCTGTGGAAGTGAGTACAACAGTTTAGTACATTTCTTTTCAACACAAGTACCTTCTGCCCCTTCTCCTGTCCTCCCACCTCCACACACTTAGTAAGCAATATGAAGCCTCAAGCGTGGTTAAACTGCTGGACAAGAAGACAATCTGGGCTGTGCTATGTTTTTGTTTCTCAACAACTGAAGACGACCAGCATCATGGGAAATCCTAGGAACTTTAATCACATTATGTAAATATAGTAGTTATTTCTGTCTTATTAGTTCGGGTTAATTTCTTAGATTTAACTACATTGTTAAAATTTTTTTAAATTGATATCTAGATCATTTGGTAGAGCATTTAAGTAATTGCTAGGTTAACATAAATAGAAAAAACTGCAATGCTATCTCCCCTATAAAAGGATTTACTTACGGTCCTTGGCAAACATTAAACTCCTCTTAAGTCTGCATTACCAAATGAGAAAACTAAAACACTAGTGTAATTACAGCATTAGACTATTTCATTTTTGGCTAGAAGTAAAACAATCTAAAATGCTGTAAAAGAAAAAAAAATTTATATTCTCTTTTTAGAACGTGTTCTCAGTGAATGCAATGACTGCTGAGTAAGTGGAGGCCTCACGAACACTAAAGGCATTAGTCAGAAAGGAAGGGTACAAATTATACAAATTACCCAGGACATCAACGGTGTCTTCACAATTTGGGTTTGGGGATCTTATGGTGTAATAACTATTTTGAATGAAAAACTAAACAGTAGCTCTGCAGTTTCAAATAATTGTCTACATCAGAGTTTTTCAACGGGGGCTTGCCACATCACAGTATGAAGTCAGCATGTTACACATGGATGAAATCTATTTTCTCATATCCATTTATGTCTTTCCAGAGTTGTTTTTTTTAATCCACTGCTTTGACCATTTTCTTGAGCAGTGCCTGGCATGCAGGAGGTGCCCAACAGACATTTGTTGAATTAAGAACTTATCCTGAAAGTGCCCTCAACTCTCTTGGCTCTCGGTTATTCCACTGTACGCATATATGTCAAGGGTCAAACTAAAACTGTCCTGCAGAGCACCAATTCCAAGGACAATGTTGAGAAACCAACCAGCTCACTCAGATAAGGGCAGAGACCTGCTGGTCTAGTTCCCAGTGCCCATCATAGGGTCTGTCAAATGATAAGTGCTGAAGGTACATTTGAAACAATGATTTCAGATCTTCACCTCTTTTAAGACCCTTCCTGTGAGCTCTTTCCCCCTTCTGCTCATCCAACTCCACCGGGAAAAAAGCCATGGCCAGTGGGCAGGAAAGTTCCTCCTGGTCCCAGCAGACATACAAACTGCTTTCCACCCACAGCTATGCTGGCATCCTTCCCCCACCCCCATCTCCTAGAGATCCTTCCTCTCCTGTCAGCTTATTTATTTACAACACTGTTAACCTGTTTCATTAGTTACCCTCATCTCATGTTTAAATGTGCAAACTCTTTAATTTTTATTTTTTACTGACCACCTCTCAGTTTTCAGTCTTAATGGCCTGTGTTTTCACTATGTATTTACCCCTTAACCCAGGCCAATTCCCCAGTGTCAGGCATGTTTTTCATCACAGGTCTCACCACGTCACTCCCCTCTCCTTTACAAAGTCCTCTACTCGCACTTGACCTCTGGTTGTTCTGCATTTTCATCAGTGTTTGCTTCGCTACCTGTGGTTTCAACTGTGAGTTTAAATACGTCATGACTTCTGGGTGTGGTGGCTCACTCCTATAATCCCAGTGACTTGGGAGGCTGAGGTGGGAGGATCTCTTGAGAGCAGGAGTTCAAGACCAACCTGGGTAACACAGCGAGAACCCATCTCTACAAAAAATTTAAAGATTAGCTGGGACTGGTGGTACATGCCTATAGTCCCAGCTCCTGGGGAGGCTGAGGCGGGAGGATCAGCTGTGAGCCTGGGAATTGGAGGCTGCAGTGTGCTGTGATTAAGTCACAACACTCCAGCCTGGGTTGGCAGAGCAAGACTTGGTCTCTAAAACCGTCAAGTCTTCCTGTCTCCCTTTCTAGACTAGCACCGATTGACCCTAAGACCAAAATATAAAGATAGCTACTGAACATTTGCAACCAAATATCCTGATATATTTCATCTATCATATCCAAGTCACAACTTACCAACTTTCCCATGAAAACCTGTTCCTCTAACTAGGCTCACCTGTGGCTGATATCTCTGCTTCACTTGCCCACCTCTACGGACAGTGCAGTCTGTGGGTTAGCTCAAGGCCCCAGAAGGTCAAGGGTCATTGGTATGGGTAGAGAAAGTATAACTAGCTAGGGTTTGTGTTCACTTCTCCAATTTTGTTGGAACAGAGTTCCATAGATGAACAAATCTGAAAACCAATGGTCCAGTCTTTATTTTACGAACTATCACGACTTCTATACTTTTCTCACCTCTGTGGGAAAATAAACAAATAAAGTCACCTGTAATTTTCCAGGCATTATGCTTGGTTCTTTCCAGATGTTCCCATTTAGATTCTTGTTTTTTAATCAAACATACAGAGTTCCATTTTACAGGTAACGATCATATATGGAACAATTCCTTTTCCTCCTTTCCCATTCTGTTTCCCTTTTCTGTTCTAAGGTCACATAAATAGTAAAACTGAGGTTGAGAGAAGTCTTTTTGATTCATGAATGAAAAATTATATAAAGTTCTTCCTAGAGTCTTCAATTCCAAAAAAATGTAGGGTTACATATTCATAAATTGATGAGCTATTAGGAATAACATTTTTTTACTTCTTCAACTGACAATACTATCACTTGAGCATTCAAATAACCTTTTCTTAAGCTCTATTTAAAAATAAAGCGGTTTGCCCTGCCTTAAAAAGAAATTCTGCTGCACTATTATTATGCTTTGCGTTGAGTGTTTGGCCCATTTCTATCACCACAATACATAACAATCACAACTTACACTTGTGTAGCTTAATGAAATGTGTCCTATGTATATTATCCAGTATGATCCTCAAGCTCTATAAGGTAGGTGCGGATGGTATTCTTAGCCCCAAGTAATGAGGATTCAGAAAGAGTTAAGTGGTTTGTCCAGAGGTATAAAGTAAATAAATGTCTACACCCAGGTCCCAGCACCAAATCGCCCTGCCTGCCGCCCTGCCCCTCCACTCGCTCATAGCCATTGTGAGTCAGTTTTCTGGCATCGCACGTTCTGTGTGGAGCTATAAACTTTTTTTGCCACTGTCTCTTATAATAAATGACATGTACTTGAGGGATGGCTAGGGTTACTTGTAAAATATTTTTTCCTCTATGGGAAGTTAACTAGTATTTATGGAAATTGAGCCCAACTTTGGCATCACCCCCATTTGGCAAAACTAGCTGGGTTTTCAAGGCCATCTTCAATGGCTTGGCAGGACAAAGCAATCAAGATACGGTCTATCATGACCTGCTATTTTAAAAAAAGGTAAAGGACACAATATGTGAAAAACAGGCAAATGAAAACGGAGGTGCATTTTGTAAGTCAGACTAAAATGTTATCAATGAGCCCTGAAGGCAACAGGTATTCACTTGAGCAACTGAATTAACCAACAATTTGGTATCTGCTCCTGGGCCCAAAACTTTCTCTGTCCAGTGGCTATAGCATCCAGACAGGGATGCCTCCAACTGTGGACAAGAGAGCTACATGGTGTGTACTGCAGTTGTTCCAGGCAACCCTATCTAACAACTATTTAAACACCTTAATTTCAGCTCGGTGCCCACAGCTCAGTAGTTAGGGCACTGGCCACATATACCAGGGCTGTTGGGCTCTAACCCAGCCTGGGCCTGCCAAACAACATTGAAAACTACAAGAAAAAAAATAGGCATTGTGGCAGGCGCACTTAGTCCCAGCTACTTGGGAGGCTGAGGCAAGAAAATTGCTTAAGCTCAAGAGTTGGAGGGTGCTATGACCCATGACGCCAGGGAACTCTCCCAAGGGCGACACAGTGAGACTCTGCCCCCCCCCAACCAAAAACAAAAACCAAAAACCTTAATTTCATTCCTAAAAGAGTTAAATTAGATTCAACTTGAGAAAATTCAATGAAGTACAAAAAAAGATTAACAGGAATGTTAATAATCTATAGAAGGCACAATATGTAAATAAAAATTTCTTCCCAGATTTTTGTTTGGTGACCTTTACCTGAATGCCTACCAAGCATGGACACATTTCCTATAATCATAATCTCGCAAGTGTATTTCCCAGATAACAACAAATTAAAGAACAATGACTTCAATTACTTAGACACCACAGCTAATGCCATCTTTAAATGGCATGAAGCCAAAATCTGGGGCCAACATTAGTTTTTAAGGGTTAAAATAAAAGAACAGCACTTTGGAGTGATGCTGAGAATTGGGGCACGCGGAAGAGCATTTACAGTGGATTACTAAGCTTCCCAATTCACCAAAGAGGTAAAGTCCAGCAAAGTAAGACTCCTTTGTAGCTAACTAAAAATACATTGTCAGTGGATTTGTCCAGTTTTATGTATAAGCAATACTTCTTTCACCTGAACTAATACTAGTAGTCATATAAGCCCCTTATTGCCATGTGCTGCATTTTTTTTGTTAATCTTCAAGGATTTAGCTTCTTTGCCACATACCTCAGGGCTCCAACTGATAAAACTCTCACTCTCCATTTTTCCAGGACACCAGCAGTGCGGCCTTGCAAAAAATGAAAATCGCTCAAGAGATTTAAAGGGGAAATTTATTTTTAAAATCCTGACTTGAAGCAAAGAGGTGGATTTTTAAAAAGCTTATCTCTAAAGAATCAGCTCAAATTTAAATTCTATCTTGGAACTCTTTCATGCATTCCAGCTTTAAAGTTTATCTTTTGACAGGGACTTTTTGCAAAGGTAATGGGCAGCTTTGTCAATATAATCTAAGTTTTCTATTTTTTTAATGTTAAACGCCTTTCATTAAAACATACATGTGTGTCCTAGGTAAGGTAGCAGCAAGTTCAGCAAGCACTAGTTCAGATTCCCATCTATGCTGATACGG